ACTCCTACTATCGATTAGGACTTACTTCTTTGTGGTCGTCCACCTGATTCCTTTGAGGATACCTTACTTGAGACTTATCAATTGTAATTTGTTTCAACCTGTCATCATGCAAACCCGCATGGTTGCCAACCAAACGCCAAACATTCTTCACCTTGTGCTCACCCAAGCTCAGTCAGATGTCACAAATCTAACAGGTCCTCAACCCATCGGCAAAAGTGGTCATTGTGTGGTTTCATTCCAATGGACACGGCGCCTCGCGGTCCATAGCCAGAGTGGTGGTCGTCGGAACTTTTGGCATGCGGATCCACTCCGTCGGAGAACAGCCTCAAGCGCTATGGACTGGGATATACCTGATCCCATTTCTCTGGAGGATGCTTGGAAACTTGTGCTCTCCAACCTGACGTTCCTAATTGAGCACGTCGTTCCTTTCTCCCGTAGAAATATCTTCAAGAGGGGTCCACCTTGGATTGACAGTGAATTGAGTTCTCCGATGAACAGAAGACACACATTGTGGGACCGTTTCAGGCAATCTCAAACAGAGTCCGATTACTCTTATTACACGATGGTCAGGAAGGTTTGTGTCACATTGAAACGTCAGAAACGTCAGCACTATGAACTATCATTAGCAGTACACTCCAGAAGAACACACAAAATGCTTTTCACTTATCTAAAACGTAGCACCAGAGCTGGCATTGGCATTCCTACCTTGCGTTACTCTGAACATCGAAATTTACTTTACGAAGACGCTGATGAAGCCAGTCTTTTGGCCTAAAAGTACGCCTCTGTCTTCGCGAAAGAAACTCCCGCCTGCGACAACACTGTCCAGTTTTATTTATCTGTTGGAGGAAGTAGACGTGAACATCAATTCTGTACTTAAACTTCCCCTTGATTTAGATCCGTATTGTTCATCCGGCCCAGATGGGTTACACCCCCTGTTCCTTAGGACTGTGGCGCAGTACCTCGCCCCTCCTATCTGTCAGGTTTTCTGTCGTTCCTTTGAAGCTGGGCGTCTCCCGTCGGCTTGGAAAGTGGACATTGTCAAACTCATATGGTTGGCGGCGTCCGGTTTCGGATTTGCCTGTCACTGTGGTCAGCCACAGGACGCCTGCGCCTACAGAGGGACGATGGATGGCTTGCGCTGCACCACCCACAGCTCCATCCACACACCCCATATCCAGTGTAAACCCGAAGGAATAAGACCGGGAGGCATGCGGATGGAAGACACGTTTCATCAACGGAGCCGGCCCACACTCCTTCACAGGCGAACACAAACACGCTGTATTTGGGGAATCAAGCGCACACAAGGCGGTGGCTGGACCGTAGCCCATTCCACACGGGATGGAACCACTCTTCGAGCCTAGCACGACCACAAGGACCATGCACTCCGTCCCCTCCAGCAACGACCAACTGTCTCCTGGAGCCAGTATGGACGACGTAGTGGGTATTATACAGGTAGGCACCTTGTCAACATGCACATCAATCGCAGCCACACCTGGGATGTCAAAAAACAGCCAATCATTCGAAATGTCGATATCGAATAAAGTAAACGCATATGACGACATAGATACTCGCTAAATGAGCATATGGAAGACATTGGTTAAATGTGAATACGCGATAAATACAAAATTTCCGAACGTTTTTTAAAAATTATACCACTCGAACATTACGCAAGTTTGCCGCAATTTGCATGAACGACATGTGTAAGTTGGGAGAAGATTATCAAGTACACAGAACAAACCAAATAAAGTGTAATGAATTTTATCCACATTAAAAAGACCTAGTTTAAGCGTAAGTTGGTTTAGCCCAGCTGCGGTGAAGAAGCATCATGAATGCGACATCAGCCTCAGCATGGGGCACTAAGGAGGGAACAGGCAAGATCCAGCCAGCTATCGTCCTAGCTGCTTAGTTTCGCTATTGGGTAAACTGTAGATCTGTTGGTGGAGGCGTTTTTCTAATGTCTTCTACGTTTGCCGGATCTAGTCGACGTCCATCCTTTTCAAGGATAAAACCGAGGTATTTGATGGTCGGCGTGAAAATGTGCATTTCTCCTCACGGATCCGGAAACCGCACGACTGTGTACAACCAATCACTTCATCCAGGCGGTTAAATAGTTCTTCCGGTGTTCGACTCATCACCATGATATCATCCATATATGCAGCGGCTCCAGAAACTCGCGCTAGCATGGTATCCATCAACTGTTTAAAAATGGCTCGCGCCGTTTTTACACCAAATTGCAAGCAGTTGTTTTGGAATAGCCCACGATGAGTGTTGATCGTCGGCAACTCCCTCGAAACTTCGTCAACATCCACTTGAAGGTAGGCATCGGACAGATCAAGCTTAGCAAAATAATGACCACCATTCGGTTTTGCAAAGATATCTTCTAGTACTGGTAATCGGTACTGGTGGTCGTCCAGCGTGGCGTTAAGGCCAGTTGAGAAGTCAGCGCAGACGCATACCTTGCCATTTGCCTTCTTCACGGCTACGATAAGTGCGCCCCATGTTGAGTAGTTGACGGCTGTTCCAGTCGATCGAGTTCTTGATCGGCGGTTGACATGACTGCATATGGTACCGGTCTTTTAGCCTTGAATACTGGTTAAGCACCTGGTTGCAAGCTCAGCGTTATCTTGCATTTCATACAATAGCCCAAGCCATCCTGAAAGACAGAGGTAAATTTTTGCTTCAACGAACTTGTCATGCCTTCGACGGACTTTGATGATGGGTGTGGACTTGCTCGAACTCGGTTGCAGATCTGATTCAAGGAACATCAGTGGGTTGCAACTTTTCAATCCAGCCGAGACCAAGAAGATTCAATTTCGGCTGGTGTGCAAAGTAGCACGCTTCCGACTGTTCCACACCTTTTTATGCAATCTTGCAAGTAAGTTCACCCACTAAGTTTAACACACCGCCGGATGCATTATGTGCAACTTTCTGAGACTCGACCATCTTTGGCTTCTTTATGTGATTCCATGTGTTCCCGGAAATAATCGTTGTCTGAGGCGGTGTCGAATTGCAGTTTCGTTGGGGTTCCGTTGATCAACACGCTAATAAATCGTCGTCTCGGTTTACACTCACTTTGGGATGCGGCAACTATGGACAGAGATTCTGCGCCATCCTTCCTGGAGTTCCCCTTTCGATTAGACTTCTTCACATTCTTCGGCCGGAATTGACTGCAGAATTCCTCCCTATGTCCCCGCTTATGGTACGTTTGACAAATATGAAGTCTGAACGGACAAAAGCGCGCGAAATCCCATTTGCCGCATGACCAACATGCTGTGGGCGATTTGTTTGTAGACCTCTTGGAGGGTTTGCTTAGGTTGACAGTCCTGGCCTTTTTCACGAAGTGCACGCTATCTAGTGGTGCGAGACCATTCCGTTCGACCAAGGCAGTGTCGTGTTTTAGTGTGAGGAACCGCTTGGATTCGCTTACGAGGGCTTTCAGTGTCAGATCAGGATCCTGATCCAGCTTAGCTAAGAGCCATGTGCGGATCTCAGCATCACGGGGGGATTGTAGAGCGCTGACGAAAATGAGACACTTAAACTGATCATCCGTTAAAGAGCGTAGTTTGGAACGCTTACATTCACGGTTAACCATGACTGCTAGAGCCCCAAAGTCGTCCGATCCCCGTTTGATAATTTTCAGCTGTGACACCACTTCGTCAAACGCCAGATCCTTCGGCTGTTTGGGCAGAATGTGGTCTATGAATCTTGAATGTTCACTTGTTCCGAGCTTTCGCAGTAGCAATCGCACCTTCCAGGAGTCGTCCAGATGAATGAAGTCCGTCCGGAACATGTCTTCCCAGCGCTTGAACCTGAATGTGAACTTTGAATGTGCATCCAGAATTTGCGTCATAGTTGAATTCAGTGCTTACATTCGTGAGAAGATCAACAGAACTCGCCTTCATGTCCCGCCGCGTCGCTGCTCCTGTTGTCTGCTAACTCAAGCATTGTGTCAGGTTTTGTTCATTTTTATTTGTGCCTCCATTTAAGATTGCTGTTGGAAAAGCAGCTTTTAAAATAATTCAGCAGGAAAATTCATCACATTTCCAATTTTCTCACTTGCCATTTGTTATACTCTTCTCACTAGAGGCGCTTTCGAAATTGGCACTTTACTGCTCCGCGAAATTTCTAGCCCAACCGAAGGTAAAAGCAGAGCACCAATGACCTTGAAAAATAACGTATTAACCGCCGTCAACAAAGACTACAACTCCTGTGGGTTTTGGCTGTATTTATAGGTCTCTTACTGACCTTCGACTTCTGGAATTGGTAGCTCAACTACCAAGGTTAGTGGTTCTCCATAGCTTTGGCCGAGATGCCAGGTGGTTGGTAGTCACGTGCGGAACTTAGAACATTACAAAACATTCGAAATGGATGCGATACTCGTTAATAATCGATTAATCGCTAAAATAGTGAATTTTCCAGGCAATTCTTACTTTGTCCCGGACAATATCACTGATTCATTTTTTTGAGAGGTGCTCCTAACTATTACCTGTTGTCTATATTCATTTTTGCTGCTATATATTTCTCCGGGTTTTGGAATCGTTGTTAAGCCGTGCTCGTCCCACCCATGGTAAATCAGGCAGGAGTGACTTGAACTGAAACCGAAAACTTCACCCACTGCCCATCGTTTACGCATGTACTCCCCATCTACTAATGGGAGAGGCGATTGATGTGTGTCTCATCGGAATATATTCAGTTTCACTACTTATGCATCCGTTAATTCCTCCGGTACCCGTGCTCACGAACCATTTGTTTAACTCATGACGCAGTCCATTTACCTTTTCTTTGGTTTCGTACGATTTTGTCGGATATTATTGCCTGATGTTGACGGACTCGTTCAGAAACATCCGTCGTGCTCCCTTCAAAGCCGTGCCTCTCTACTCATTATCGTTTTTCACTGGACAGATTTTCGCCCCTTTGGTGCAGAGTTTTGCCTCACCGGAATCCCCAGCGATGATATCGTATCCTCTGTACCGTTAGCATGAACCCAACACTCGGACTTTATGTACCTTCCCTTACACTACCGGACACAAATCACGAAGCCATTGAATATGGTAGCTTTTCCTTAGTTTCTATCTTCTTCCCCTTCAGGTTTCTAATATCGGACGGAGCTTGCATCAGCCTGCGAGATGTGGTTCTCCGTGTAACGACGGAAACCCAAAGCATAGCGACTATCAATGGGTCCAGCTTGCGGGACACGAAGGTACGTTTCGGTCTAATTAACCATTTAACCTATGACTTCACTTTGCCAATTAATTGTGAACTTTTCAAGCGACAACCCAAAACTCACGTGTTTTTACAACCATCCGACCTTGATGCATTGGTTCAATACTTTACGCACTGATGGCTGACGGAAGCTAGTTCCGTTGCCAATTGGTACCACTCGAACTGATGTATGCGTTGTTAGTTGGCGGTCACAATCACGATAGGCACCGGCAATGCACCGGAACATCGTATTGCCATTTCGCTCCCACTCAGCCACCAACAGTTACATGCAGGCTGCGACATTGCATTTTCGCCTGTGGATTATAAGTCAGACTGCTTGGCCACTTTGCTGCTAATCAGACCACAATCAGTTGAACGTGTGCGCCAATGACCTACGTTTTGCGGAGCATTTAACGGTTAATTTATTTTTTCTCCTTAGCCTTCGGGTCTACATCATACTTAGACCACGGTCAACGTTCCACAGACGACCAGACCGTGAACAAAACCGGCTGCTCTGCTCCTACGTAAACCATGTTCGTAGAACATTGGGCGATGGATGCAAACTCCACATTACACTAAACCGATCGAACGACCTCCAGCGTCCGGGAAATTTGCTTTCTAGGAAATAGTGGAACGGTTCAGGTCACCCTCTTGGCTCTCCCGGCGCTGATTGCGAAGTAATTATGGCATATTTTATTTTTCGGGCTGAGCATACTTTTAAATAAATAAATACAGCTTTTATTCTCAACAAAGAGAGGCACGCCTTTACAGGCATGATCATTTTGACATGATAATACGTGGTCAAGGTTTTGCAGAAATCCGATGTTTGCCATAACAGTGTCTGTTTCGTAGGGTATATGTAACCAAACGCATGAATACAGGTTATCATGCGCTCTATGAGTTTACCTCTTTATGTGTCAGTATCCACACAGTGACCGGAGCTCAAATGCATGGGAACACGTTCGTTCTTCTCGTACGATAGTTCTTTGCAATCTCACTCACCAGGGCTTCACAATCCACGCAGACATAGTGTCTGACCAGAGTGCCACTCTACTGGGAGTGACCTCGAATGGTCTTCCATCGTCCATGTGAGTGTTGCTCATTTTGAATGTTTCAACACATAGGCCGTTCATTTAGCCCTCCTCTGTATGCCCAGGTTAAAGGCCACAAACGTGTGTGTGTGACGGATTCAAAGGAACTCTCATACATCCCTTAGATTGGTCGCCTATCCTCAAGCATTCCCATCTTAAAAGCCAGCGGTAATGGTGATGCCGCTAGCGTAAATGGGCCACGTTAACTCCTGGCTACCAAGCGGTTGCTGCTCACGATATTCCACATTCGTTTGTGCATTGGATTAAACAATTGGGTGTAGTGATCAACAGTTATCCCTGGTGGCCAAGTAGTCTACAACCCTTCTTCACTTTGGAACGCAGTTTGGAAATTCGGTGTTCAAGACCAAACAAACTTTGTTGCACGTGTCCTAACGTTGGCTCGTCCGTGTGTAAACTGACTCATCCCGGCAAGTTACTGACTAGCGATTAACATGCTGATGTTGATGCTACATGTTCTGTTTCATATATTAGTCACAAGGATGAGTGTAGGTATATTTCCAGCTGAACATCGCTCACACTGAAGTTAGGATAAGTCAGCTGTTATCGAAATAAGGTGCGGAAGAGCAAACGTTCCTTCGACAATTTAAATTAGAAATGACCAATCATCTAGATTGACTTAAAAGTAGATTAGTCCAACTATGGTGTTACGGTAGTGTTTAAATAAATATTTAATTGGAAACTAAATTCAGCACAACAACAATTGATTTGTTGCGAATACTAGCTGCAACCGAGATGTATGATGACAGATTGTTAGTAAATTGTAAGCGGTCAAATTACGATGAGAAATCCAGTTCGCATGGGAATATCACGTTCAGCTAACCACCTTATCTGCTTCATCTGCCGAGGCTCTTGATATCCATTATGTGTCTACCCTCATATGATTAACTATGCAATGCTCAATGTTTTCATTGCAAATCACACCATTGGTATGGAGATTTACTGGTTCATTGTTTTCCCAGCCATATCTAAGTGGTTCCATTCCAAACCCCGCTGTGAAGATACCATCGTGCCCCGGTGTCCCACGATATACTCATTTCGGAGATATTAGATAATTAAGTGTTGTGCAAGGTACTTCTTGTAAGTTTGCTAAAATAGTTTGCACACTCTTTCGAAAGCCGGTGGTATAACAGGGAGCAGCTGAATTTACTACGTGTTGGTGATGTGATAGCGTCAAGGGGACCATCAGGAAATGTATGATATTATCGTCTACTAACGCTTATAGCAGTCAGCCTCTACGATACACAAGAACCATAAGTCATCTGTGTTTTACGGTACATTTAGTTGTGCATCATTCTACCTGGTAATCATGCTCACGGCATTTGCTTCCGTATTTCCATATCTGTCTCAGTCTATTGTTGATACCCACACTTCTGACTAAACTTAAGGCTGCCGTTTAGGTTCACATCCGAACGCTAACTGACCACTGACAGTCGTATTGGTTACTTATAATTCTACGTGCGATTTTCTAAAACTAGAGGAATATGGCTGTTATTCTTTCATTCAATCCAAACTCATGCACGTACATAGTGTTATGGTTCATGAGGGTTATTGTTTCTCCATCCAGTTTGTGGTAGTCCATACACAAGTGTGAACAAATGTCCGTTCGCAACACTGCAGTACTGTAACTCGAACCAGGGACCTTTGGTATGCCAACTGATACCTCACGTTGAATGACTAATTGGAAGCCATTTAGAAACACTTATAAGCACCACACTTCAGCCTGACAGACTGATAGCATTTTCACTCGCGTAACACCATTATCTGCTGGCTCGACGTCCAAATGGGACTCGCCTAAGGTACAAATCCCGCTAACATCTGTTCGTGCCTTGATACATTCCCACTTGACAGATAGATCGTATTACATTTCTTCTCGTATGACACCGTGACTTATTGCGGGTTGCAATATGAAGTCAATGTATCCCATCTCAAGTGTTTCTATACGCCCCCTTGTACTGCTGCCGCCTTCAGGTAAACGCACTGAGATTCAGATAAGTCATCAAGGTTGATTCCGGAATAGCGGCAATACGTTGTGACATCCAAATCGAAATGCTTGGGCATAGGTAGTATTCTAGACACTGAAGGTATGCTGAGGTATGCTAGCGGTCAGAACGAATGACCGGGGGGAAATAAATAGTAACGGATTGCCTGGTGGTTCTACATCCCTGTTGATTCTCGCTCATTTCAGACAAGAGACGATCATAACCGGCTCTGATTTTACCTTACAACACGGATAGCCTGCAGTGGACGTCATCGCATCATTTCCCTGTTACCTTGAAAAGTTGCTTACGCCATCTTCGTCATTATTTTGCCATCCTTATTCTATATCCCGCATGTAAGTCTCGCTTGGGTAAAGTTTCATTCTAGAGTGATTACCTACTGACTTGGTGCACTGTGGTATCTTTATTGCACCTGCCTAGGACGAATGAGCCACACCTAACCTACCTTTATTTAGCTCATTTAACTCGGTTGTATTTCGCAATGAGTTCACGAGTTGCCGATTACAATGTTGTACTCATCATGACCTACGCCATGTTATTCTTGCTACCTTTTCTAGTGGAGTCTTGTTCGGTGACATATCAAGACAGCATCTTTCTCTTCGTATTATTATTATTCGGCTGCGGTTCACATCACTATTTAAACTCCATGGTATTACTCACCAGACTATGCTATCTACATTCTGATCCTTGAAATCGATCTGTAGATTATATTACCCCAGCTTGACCAGCTGCTCAATGCTAAGTATCACGACGCTTAGAGAGCCGGTGCATCGCAGAATAATGGTTCAGTCCATCCTTGAGCTCATTCGTAATTGACATGCGCGCGGTGTTTCCCAGCGACTTGTGGTCTTGATACGGATCAATGCTAGGGTGGCAGATTATTGTGTATGTTTCCAGTTCAGTGACTACGTTTGAATCAAAAGGTTATCATCGCTTGGCCGCTTACAGTACGCATAAAGTGTAAAGTTTGACATTTGGAACACGATGCTCAACAATTGTCCTTCGTGTGACCACATTGGACTATGCATTCGAAGAGAAATTTCCCTGGAAATTCTGTGGCAAGTGAACAATCCACACAATTACCCGACTGCCGATTATCACGATGTCGACAGTTCAGGTTCTGCTCCGCAGATTTGTAATGAGAGGGAGCATAGTTATAGTTCCAGTTGTTCCTCAGCCATACTGAATTGACCGGGGCCTCTGAAAACGCACGTACTAAGCGGATGGAATACGGAAGCGCAGAGATGCCTATCAGAAGTTGCATTGCACATGGTCAATCTGTTGTATAGACGAAGTAAAATGTCAAACCCAAGGGGAATAGTACGTCAGTGTCTTAGTATATTACATCGGAAAGAAATCGACGCATAGCGACAATCGTTTTATGAGCACCAAATGGCTGCACCCGGAGGCGTACGATGTGCATCTTTATCAAATAACTTATGGTCATGTTGCGGGCACGTCAGATATTCTCGCAAAAACGTGCCAGAGACCCCAGCAGAATGGCTGTGGAAAGCGAGGGCCAATTCCTCCCTACAACGCAACAGAGCTCAGCCACTCCGAAACGCGGCCCAACTGCGCACCTTTCGACAATGCTCATTTGCAAACTACCACCTCTGCGTGGTGACTGTTTTCCCTAACTTAATAACCCATAGCACCGGCTGTGATCGCCCTTTGTTGGTCGTAAAAGAGCCTACAGAGGACCACTTGCCTTTTCTTTCTCTTCGCCTCAGTTGGGAGTCGGTCGGGTTACGTGATTGCGTGTGAGTCGTTAGCTGGCCAGCCTTCGCGTCTAAGTCATTAGCGCGCGTCTATCATAACCCCCTCTCGTGTGCGTCCGTTTCCGAGGTCTCAGCGTCTATCCGAACACTTGCGGCTAGGATCGCTCACAC